GTTTTTGGCCGCCACAACTGCGACAAGGTACCTATTCAAGTATGGATGAATACCTTTTATTATTGTTAATTTAGAAATACTCTAAAAATCTTAGATCCAAACAACTGCGAGGAAAAGACCCTAAAACATAAAGCAGATGGAGAGTCTTATGAAAAAACCTAAAGTATCTGTCTCTTAACTTATATGGTAATATTTTTCTGATGTGTGACTATATTACTATGACTAGGCTGCTACTCAACTGTTTTTTTTGTTGTTTTTTTTTTTGCATTCCCTCTAAGTGATTCAAATTAACATTGCCATTGAGACAAGGTGATAATGATAACTTAAGTGTTCACAAACCTGTTTCTTTTTATGCTACTGCAGATTTCATCAAAGAGACCAAATATTAGCTGATCCAAATCTGTAAAAATCTGTAACTTGCACTTTTTTTCACTGCTTATTTTAGCAAGTCATTAGTCCTGTGTTTATACATCAGAATAGGAAAGACTGCAAATTTGTCCATAAAGATTGGCTTCTAAGTCTCTCAACTCAGTCTTTTGTGTGGGTCAACATGGATGTCTATTTAATGACTTTATGACTACAAATTGAAGAGTTTGGGCTTATCTTTGAGATTTTCTGATTATTTTCCTTCTTTTATTTTAAAGAGTTTTCTTCTTTTTTAAAAAGGTTTATTAACTGGTTTTCTCACCACCTGAGTAACTTTCAATTTCATTGGAGCTGGGAAGATTGGTAAGTCAGTCTGTCTCCCAATCAAAACTTAAACCTTCAAACTTATCTAGCAAATGTCAAAGCATAGTGGTCCCAATTAACTGCTTTCCACTCACACTTCTGGATTTCGGGTTTCCCTTTCCCCCCCACCCCCCCAATCTTTCTCACACACATGCCCCTGTTTGCCACCATCCCTTGTTAGACAAGTTTGATAATCTTTAGTCAGTATAAAAGCAATTCCTGTTTTGGGTAATGAATCTCCAACCCATACAGTGCTTCGTAAACTGTAAAAACTTGTGATTTTTTTTTTGTCCTTCCCCCCCCCCCAGTCAGTTGTTTGCAAGCTTTTCAGAAGGGTTCTCCTACTTATCAGTAATTTGCTCTTACTGTCCTTTCTTTTGTTTCCTGGGAAAGCAGGCTAAACAGCAGAGCAAATACTGTTTTACTTTTTGAGGAGAAGCCATTCAAAAAGTTATCTTATGAAGATGGGACTCCTAAGATTGCTAATAGCCAATAAGAAAATAGTGATAGACTGGCTCCTTATCTTCAAATTGTTTATATGTCTGTGGGTCCCTTTTTGAGGAACTAGGATTGGTAGGGCAAACCAGAGGCCATATCAAGGTGAGGCAAGAACATTTTTGCCATCAGGCTGTCCAACCTGGTGAGAAGGGTTTAAAATTTCGCCCCTCAGAGGGTGGCAATAACAGCTTCTAGTGGAGTGAGGGAGCAGAAGTTAGAAGTGGTAAATGGCACGTGGGGCAGGGTGATGGGAGCAAGAGTGCCCTTGGAAAGGTTAAAATAGGACAAAAAGCATCTGTGTGCCCCCCCCCCGCAAGTGCCCACACACAAATGCTCTGTGCACAGGTGAGGAACTGTGACATTGTTGGAATAAGAGCTGTGGTGGGAGAGCTTGTGTGATGACAACTCTGTAATGGATGGATAGAGGCTTTTCAAGAAAGACAGGTAAAGAAGAGGGAGGGTGGCTTCTATGTGAAGGAACAGATCATATATATGGAGCTCTTCTCATCCAGCCTGTCACCCATTCCATAGAGCTTGTGGGTCAGGATCAGAGGAGCAACCAGTGAGGGTGACATCATGGTGAGAGTTGCAAACAGAGTTACAGACAGAGTCTTGTTTAAACAAGTTGAGGAAGTCCCTGGATCGCAGCCCTTGTTTTTTATGGGGGGGCTTCAATTTTCCTGACATCTGTTGGAAGGGCACAGGGCGAGGTGCAAGTAGTCAAGGAGGTTTCTGGAGGATGTCAGGAATAACTTATTGACACGAGTACTGCATGAACCAAACAGGGGTGATTCACAGCTGGATTTGCTCTTCACCAACAAGGAAGAACTGGTTGAGGATGTGGTAATCAATGACAGCTTGGCTGCAGTGACCATGATCCTGGAGGCAGTGAGGAAGGAGAGTAACAGAGTATAGACCCTGGACTTCAGGAGAGTAGACTTGGGCTTATTCAGAAACTGGTGGGAGTAATCCCCTGAGAGATAACTCTGAAGTGCAAAGGAACTCCAGAGAGCTGCCAGGTCTTTTAAGGACAGCCTCCTTCAAGTACAAGCGCAGTTCATTGTATTATTCAAGAAAGTGAGTAGACATAACAGGCGAATGGCTTGGCTAAATAGGGGACTCATGACTGAGTTCCAATGCAAGAGGTCATGCATAGGAGGTGGAAGTGAGGACAGTCTACAAGGGAGGAATTTGGAAACATTGCCTGGGCATGTAGGGATGGCATTAGGAAAACCAAAGCTCAACTGAAACTGAGACTTGCAAAGGACAAAGGACAGCAAGAGATTCTACTGCTATGTTATCAGTAAAAGAACAAAAAAGGAGAATGCAGGCTCACTGCTGAACGGGACTGGTGATCTAGTGACAGCAAAAGCAGCAAAGGATGAGGCACTTGATGTATTCTTTGCCTCAGTGTTCACCAACAAGGTCTCCCAGGCCTCTTGTGCCTAAAGACAGGGTTCAAGGAAGATAATTGCCAGTAGTGGAAGTCAGGAATGTCTTGAATAATCTCAACCCCTATAAGTCCATATGACCAGATGGGATACACCTGAGGGTGCCAAGAGAGCTGACTGCTGTCATTGTGAGACTATTCTCTATTGTCTTTGAAAGGTTGTGGATATGAGGAGAGGTCCCTGATAACTGGGGAAAGGCAAATGTTTCATCCATCTTCAAAAAAGGCTGAGGACAATTGGAGGAACTACAAGTTGGTCAGCCTCACTTTGATCCCTGGGAAAATCACGTAGCAAGTTCTCTTGGGAATCCCTTCTAGGCATATGAAGGAGAAGGCGATTGGGAATGGCTAGCATGGATTTACCAAAGGTAAAATATGCCTGACTGACCTGACTGCCTTCTATGATGAAATGACTAGAATTGTGGATGAGGCGAGAACAGTGGGATGCAGCCTACCTTATTTTAATGAGACTTTTTATGTGTTCTCTCACAGGATCCTTGTATACAAGTTGGGATGTTATTGTTCAGATGGGTGAAAACCTGGCTGGTTTGTCAGAGAGAGTAGTGGTTAATGTTTTATATTCTACCTGAAGGATGGTTACATGTGGAGTACTACTGGGGTCTATCCTGGGACCTGTCCTGTTTAATATCTTTATCAATGACCCGGAGAAGGCAGAATGCACCCTCATCAAGACAGACACAGACAGGCTGGAGGAATGGGCCAACAGGCCTGCTTTGGGCAGAAGTTGGAGTAGATGGTCTCCTGAGATCCTTTCCAACCTGAATGATTTTATGAATATCCAGTGAATATTTTCTACCTGCTGAATCATGCCAAAATAGATTAGAACAAAGAGCATTTGTTAGAAGTTTTTGTGTGTTTTTTATTTGTTTGCTTATTTTGGTTGGCTGTTTTTGTTTTTTTTGGTTATTTTTTTTCTCCTTTGATAGGTCAGACTGTCTTACTCAGGACCTTGAGAAGCCCAAATCAAAATTTGTGAGAGAGGTTTTGGAGAAATGCATGAGGTAAGACTTTTGAACATCTCGCTTTTATAGTTGCATTAAATTGAAGTTTGGTTATTGCTTCCAGGTGATAGTGGGTTCCTTTTAATGTGACTCGTGTCATAGGCATATATATTTTCTCAGTTAACATGTTCAGTTACCGTTCTTTTGTCTTGTTCAGTTTTGTTCTATCGTACCTGTTGTAGGGCACTCTTTCTAGTGGACTGGGGGACAAATAGGTAGAGCAAGGTAAAGTGACCTTTCCTACTTGTTTGTGCTTCTAGATACAAATTAGGAAGACTATACTCTTTGTGCTTGGGGGAAGGTAAAAAGACTTGATAGTATGCTAGGCAGGGAAGGAAAAAGAGTTTAGGTGTTGTGCTGAAAAATACTGTCTATTCACAGAAACAGGGGGAACTGATCCATACTTAAGCTAGAGATCTAATATTGATTATTCTAGGCATCTTGGATTCTCATAGACCTTAAGAAGAAGTCGCAAAAGCATAACAGTTGTCAGGATTGCATTAATGATTGTGGAGACCTAAACTGGGGTGGGGAGAGAGAACGACGATGACACAGGGTGCAGCGTCCAAGAGTAAAATGTCCATATAACCTATATAATTCAACATTCTACATGAAAACATTTACTTGTTGCTTTGAGTGAGTTTAATATATTAAGTGTGAAACTGCTGGGCTGCAAAATGATTTCATTTTGTCTGTGGCCTTTTTCTATTTCACTGTGAATTTAGTAGAAAAATTCAATGTTTTTAATGTAAATAAGACAGAAGGTAAAATAAAGCCATTTAGAGTTTTTTGTTTGTTTGTTTGTTTGTTTGTTTTTCCTGCTTTTAATACCAGTATCTTACCAGTTGTCTGCATAGGATCTTATACTTGTGTGAGGATGAAATTCCTGTATTAAAAAATTTAAATCTCAAGTATATACCAGAAAGTTTTGTTTTGGCTATCTTTTACTATCTGTCAGGAACTACTATTGCATTGAGTAAACATCTTGATTTTTGCATTGCCCAAATTTAAAAAATAGGAAAAACATTTTAAATCAGAGAGTTGAGTAAGCCCTGGTGATATTTTCATTATAATTTTACTGCTGTGAAACTTACTTTTGCAGGCTTTCCTACCATCAGCGAATAATAGACATTGTTCCTCCAAGCTTTTCTGTCCTCAGTCCTGCAAATCCAGTGTGTATTTACAAATATGGAGAAGAAAGCAATAGTAAGTATTTAAGCTATTGAAACCAAGTAGAAGAAACTTGTTTCAAAGCAAGGGAATGTCAGTTGACTTCATGAAGAATTCAACTAAAATAAATATGCTTAATTTTGATATAGATAAATGAGCTCACAGAATCACAGAATCCCAGAATAGTTAAGGTTGGAAGGGACCTCTAGAGATCATCTAGTCCAACCCCCCTGCTCCAGCAGGGACACCCAGAGCACGTGGCACAGGGTGGCATCCAGGCGGGTTTGAAGATCTCCAGAGATGGAGACTCCACAGCCTCTCTGGGCAGCCTGGTCCAGGGCTCTGGCACCCTCACAGGAAAGAAGTTCTTCCTCACATGGAGATGGAACTGCCTGGGTTTCAATTTGTACCCATTACCCCTTGTCCTGTCACTGGCCACCACCGAGAAGAGCCTGGACTTATCCTCCCTACATTCACCCCTCAGGTACTTATACATATTGATCAGATCCCCTCTCAGTCTTCTCTTCCTCAGACTAAACAGGCCCAGCTATGTGAGAGCAAGTGATATAACTTGTTTGTATCTTTCTGATATAAGGTTTTTAAAATAAAAAAATAGCTATATGAAATTAAATCATGTTGAGGTGGTTGCAGTCTAGGTGCTACAGCATTGTTGTGGTTTGTCAAGAGTCTAAAAAAGAAAATGTATTTCCACTGGTCACAGAATACTGTGCAGAAATGAGTGTAGCAAAAGATGACACAGACTTGTTTTTGAAGAAAGTTAGCACTTAGTAAAAGATTTTGCTAAACAAACTTGGTTTAATGAAGCAAACAGGCAGAAGATCATGTGAAGGAACCGTTGCTATCAACGGCATGGATATAAGTGAGAAAATACAAGTACTGCATTTATAAGAAGCTGATGGAAATTGAAGTGGAGCTTTGATCAGGGGAATTGTCCCCCCTCCCCCATTAAAGGTACTACAAAAAGGCATGAATTTGTGAAGAATAGGAAACCCATTAAATAATTTTATGGAATGGTGATGTGGACCAGTCGTATTGGGAACAGCAAGTTCTGGGGGTATTTGGGAAGTGTACATGCTTTTCTGAGAAATAAGCTGATGTATAAGTATTCATTCCATCTTGGACTTGAAAAGGATTATAAGAACTTTCTCTTTTCATTTAGGATCTCTTCCTGTGTATACCGTAGCACTCTGTTTAATGATTGCAATTAAAAATAAGTCCAATAATGATGAAATCTTCAACATTTTAAAAGATGTGCATAATCCAAACCAGGATGATGATGATGGTAAGGACATTCGATATCAAGCATTGCAAGGTTGTTATTAGTTTTGTGTATAAACCATTTTGCTATCCTGTAGTGCTGTTATGTGTTTTGCCAGTAAGTGAACTGTATGTTTTTCATTCTAATAGTTGGTTTCAGTTTAATAGTAAATGGGAATAAAATACAGTTGTCTGTTTCTTCTCTTCTCATCATATATAGAGACAGGTCTGTTCTAGTTAATAGAGGCAACCTAGCCCTTGGTGTGGGTTCTGGTAATTTTCTACAGAGGTGGCATGAAGGATTTTTAACATTTCCCTTTGCTTTCAGCATTAGAGTGTAATTCATGGCATCAGCTTTATCCCTAAGATACAGTGCTTGTGCCCTACTTAGGAACTTGCCTCCTCTTGATACAGTCCAATAACAGTTAAAGCTAGCACTCTGGCTATTTTAGCTAACCCTAGATCTAAATGAAATTAATGTTCTCACAATAGGACTTTGCTCAAGTTTTTTTTTAGCTTTGCTGTTGGTCCAGCCACAAGTAATGCTTGATTTCCAAAGCCAAAGTGCTCTTGGGGACTGAAAGCAATGCAAGTTACAGGTTTGAGGGACGTAGGGACAGTTTGCATAATACTGTAACACTTGCAAGTGTTCTGTTCTGTAGGCACAGAGCAGCAGTGAACCTGTTTTAGCCCAAGAGACAATATTTCTTTGATTTGCTATAAAGACCACACAGTAATCAGTGTTCCTTCTCTTACCCATCATTGCCAGCAGTTCTACAGCAATGTTCAAGAGACTTGGAAACATTCATCTCAAGTGTTTCACATGCCCTATGCACAATTGGTGCACTCTTCTCCAACTGTTACAAATACCCAATCTCTGTACTGTAATCATCTGCAGCTTCCCATCTTCTCATCCATTCTCCCTTTTCCATGCTCTGTGGCCTGTCTGTCCTCCAACTCAATGCATCAGTGCTGGTAGATGTCATTAGTGTGGCTGTGTCTCTGCTGCTCTTCCTCATTAGCATGGAACTATTTCTACATGTTTTCTCCATGATATATGGAACTCCCAAGATTTGCATGTTTTATAAGATATTTACTAACTCTCTGTTCAACCTTGCAAAATCCAGTTCCTGAAACCTAATTTATCATTTTAATTCATTTCATAAAAGTTCTCTTTAAAACTTTTGAAGCAACTTAAAAGCTCTACTTGAAATATTAATTGCTTCAATTTTAAATAATTTGCAGATGAAGGCTTCACCTTCAATCCCTTGAAAATAGAAGTTTTTGTACAGACTCTGCTCCATCTAGCTGCGAAGTCTTTCAGCCACTCCTTCAGTGCTCTGGCTAAGTAAGTGTGGTATGTACATTATTTTGGGGCTTACAGAACCGTTTCATTCTGACAGTGAAGTGGTTGATAAAATGACTGTAAGCTTCAGGAACACTTTAGGTGATATGTGATGTGATTGTGTGTTTGGGCAAAAGCAGTGACACTGCTTACTAAAAGGATGGTAATGTGAAAGCTAGGTTATGTAGCTGAATGGAGTTCTTAACAAGAATGGACACATCTTAAGCATGTTGACTGAATTAAGGTGAGGGTTCTGCCTGTTTTAAAATTCTCTTGCAAGTGTAAAGGTACATATCAGTTTGGGGTTTCTCATTATCACAACTGTGCCTATCTGTACTCTTTGCCTGAGTGTGGCTCTGGGTACATCCATGAATGTCTGTGTTTCAGTTCCTAATTCTACTAGTATTCCTGTAAGGGTTGTAAAATACTTAGAGACTGTTTGGTACTCAGTTACTGCATATAAGCAATTAAGTTTTTACTAGAGTTTAATGTTAGCATAAAGTAGGAGAGGAAGCATGCATCTGTGCAGTGGTGGATGTTGTAAATTTTTCTTATCAAAAAGGGGAGGGGGAAACCTCTGCAGCTTTCTCAAATGGAAGTGGTACTCCTGAAATTGAGCTGAAATAATTCCCCTTGTACCCTTCATTGTAGCCCACAAAGATGTTCTTCAACCCAGCGCTCACTTTGCTTTTGTTGCTAACTTCAGATATTGCACAGAGGCGTCTGCACAAGCATACTGGTTGTGTGCTGTTGCATTTAAATCACACAATAACATGCAAGTTAGTCACTAGTTAAGAAAGGGGATCATCTGTGTGCCGGTTCCTGAACTCATTGGACAGACATTATTTCTGTATGTGACTCATGATTATGCAAATCTCATTTAATCTACCTACAGTATTTAGAGTTAATAGGAAGTTTTAAGTAATCTTTTTAACAAGTGCAATGTATGTACTATGATTCTTTGTACATGCTATTGCAAAGTCTTGAGAAATACCCACTGTGTACTGAAAAATACTCTAGCTAGTGTCTGGATTAGCTACTTGCAAATATATTACATCTTCTTAATGATAGATTCTAAATCAAACCAAGGAGGCACTCTGTATATTTTCACTTGAAAGGGGAAAATTATTGTTCATGCCATGAGTTCCCTGTTTTCAGTTTCATTTGAATTATTATACTTTATACGCAGTCTACTTACGAAGTCCATGAGTTACCTGACTGGAAGAAAGACTGGAGCTGAAAATAGCCACAGTGCAGCAGATAGCTTATTATCTCTTCTGGAAGTGCCTGCAAGTGCTTGACTGCTTTGTGATGTTAATGAGTTTCATGTTCAGAAGACCCTAAAGAATAATGGGAGAGGTATGCTGCTGTAGTTGGCTTAAAAAATGTACTTACTGTAGCTTGCCCTGCTTTTTTTTTCCCCTCTCACATCAAGCCTTGCCTGTTCTTCCTTAACCGTCCAACAGCACATTATGCTACTAATATCTGAATTCTTGGGAAGCCACCATAGAGTGGATCAAGCAGCTTGTTTCTTTGATGTATATTTTGTATTACAAAGAATGATGCATATTTAAATGTACAAATCCATATAGTGTATGCATGGGGGGGAACCTTTCCTAACCCCCTTTGTCTCCATGTGCAAGTTCAGAAGCATAATGTACATTGTAGCATCACAAAGAAGGAACAGCTTGTATATAATTTAATTTTAAAATTAATTATTTCCTGAGTGTCCTGAGGAACAAGTGATATTGCCTCTTGCTGAATGACTGGATAGCTCCCACCGCAGTATTGTAGGTCTTGTACAGTGTGTTGCGGCTATCAGTATGACTCAAAATCAGTTAGGTCTGTGTTTTTAAACAAACAAACAAACAAACAAACAAACAACTCACCTCACCACCCAACTTCTTAAATCTACCTAAGGAAAGGAAAATTAATTTCAGAATATTTTAGAGTACATACCCTTAAAGACATGCTTTAACTTCTAGAGGATTGACTGATTTTTTTAAAGCAAAATTAGATGAAAGTAAGCTATTTTTGATACTGCATACTTGATGCTGTTAAACTGTCTCAATATGAGAGGTGGTCATGTGTCTTACTGAATTATTTTTCTATTTATATAGCCTTATATACTTTCCAAATGTAAAAGCCTGATTTTTGTCTGCACACGAAAGACTTGTAATGACTGTTTATAACAAATGATAGGCACTAGTCTACAGTCAGCATAAGGAGCAGGCCTCTGCATATTCAGCTCTAGTGTTTTCACTACTGCATACCAACAGTGGTATCCATAAGGTCAAAAAGCGCCACTTAAACTAGGCAGTGAATGTTGACATAGCAGTCAGCTTAACTGTACTAATGTAGATGCTTTTTCAGCATTTCCCTCAGTGGTGGTGGGGATTGAATAATAGTCTATGGTTATGGAAACACGCATCAACAGGCAAAGTCCAATGCAGAAAAAGGGAGCAAATTTCACTCTGACAGCATATAGATGATCACACTGAGCAGAATTTATCTCCTGAATTTAAAAGCATGAAAACTGTAGTCTAGCTTCAGAGAGTAAGCTTGCCACTGAGGCAGGATTACATTGCTTTTAGGAGTTGTCATGTCTCTGCAACCTTTTAAACTCAGGATATTTCTATTTGTCAAGGGTTATCCTTTCCAGAATTGTTGCAGATTGGCTGAAAGAAAATGTTCATCTAAAACACTTACCATACTTCATTGCCCTGATCCTAACCCCTCCATTGCTTATTTATATTTTAAAAGGTTTCGCAAAGTCTTCAAAGCACTTTCTGAAAGTGATGAGGGGAAACTCCATGTCCTGAGAGTTGTATATGAGGTTTGGAAGAATCACCCACAGGTAAGAGTGGCAATGGTAGATATTTGTTGGAATTTTAACTCACAGAAAATCATGTTAAAATAAAAAAAAATACATTTTGCTTTGTTTACTTAAGAATAGTCTACTGTCTACTTGTATTTGAAAGAATTGAAGTTGTATTTATTTACTACTGTTAAGTGTCTTAAACCAGACATCAAATTTATTCTCTATTGGTGAGGCTGTTTAGTGTGGAAGAACAAAGACTTTCTGACTTTCAGCTTTGCGCTGTGCCATTTGACTTATACGAGAATTGTTCTAATATTGAAATTTTGAACAGCTTTCTGGTTCTTTACGCTTTGTAAGATATAGATCTTCTAATACGGAAGTTACACAATGGGCCTTCCTAACTTCACTTACATTTTTTCAGTGCAGTTTCAATTGTTCAGTCGGGGTTTGAAACATGTACATGCATGTGGGACCCTAGCCGCACTGGCACATGGACTAGATGGTGCCCAGACAGCTGGGCACCTGCCTAGTGTTTTTGTTTTCATCCAGTTAGCCATGCCTCAGTTGATGTGATCCAAAGCCTACTATATAAATGGTAACACGTCTTTTAAGTTGATTTAGTTTATCAGAAGGATTTGTGAGGAACCCAGTGCTAATGAGCAATCTCTGCCATAGATGGAGATTTAGCAAAGAGAGTCAGTAATCCCTGGAACAATTTAAGAAGGCTTTGATGTCATAAAGGGAAACTTCAACATCAAGATTGAATGTTTTCACAAATTCCTAGGTCTGTGTTATTTGAAGGATCAAACTAGGTAATCTGGGTAGTGTCAGAAAGAATCTCTTAAAGCAAATGCATATAGGAAGCAATCTTGGGAATTGAGAGATTAGTCCTGGGTTTTCCATGATTCATTCTATTAACTCAGTTTTCTCCCTTAAAAACAGCTTTGTTACCTGTTTGAGAATGCGTGGCTATAAGAATAAATTTGTTGAAGTTTGAGGTTTTCAGGTATTTTGGTATGGAACATGTGAATATAGGCATTTTCTTTTGAATGGGATATAGCTTCTCTAATTACGAGATTCTTTTTGCATTTCCCTTTGTGATTTCTCCATAGACCTTATCAAGGCAGGGTCCTGTAGTAAATACTTCAATACAGAGTGATGATTCTATTCTAAAATGAAGAGGTCCTGCAGGAAAGAGCATATGGTTGCAATTGGAGATTGGTGCCGTAGACTACGAGACTAGGAGAGTAGACTAGTGGTTGCTGTTATTTTATGGTTATGTAATGGGAATATGTTCTGGTTGGATACTGCAGTGTCAAATATCGGGACTTGCTTCTTTGATGTCTCATCTCAAAACTTGTTAATTGTATTTTTGCTCTTGGGAATAGCAGCAATATTCACTTGAATGAAGAGTTATTAATTGCTCTCGTGAGGAGTAAAGAAAGTTTGTTAAAATGTGAATGCACACTTTGCATAATTGATACAGCTCCCCTTGTATGAGCAGTTTTAGGCTAAGAAAAACAGATGTCTGCTTTAAGTAGTGCTAGATTCCTAAAATGCTTGAAATCAATCATTAGTTTGACTAATATATTTACAAAGTTTTATCAGGCCAAACTTTCATACAACCCATCATTGTCCGTATCATTGTTGCACCTAGCAAAGGAACGGACTCAGTCTGGGATGCAGCGAGACAACTTTATTCTCAAACCAACTTCTTTTTATACTCTCTTAACACAAGTGTTGTGAAGATTTCAACAAATCAGCATCTTGCCAGCCATGCAGTTGTGGTTATCTTCTTCTTGCTTTGTTCCTCATCTGCTGACAAGACATTCCACATGCGGTTGTAGTCCTCCTCCTTTTCCTGCTTTGCTCCTTGCTGATAAGACATTCGTCCTTGCAGTCAACCATCCACTACCAAGGCATCCTTGCGATTAACTATCTATCTACTACCAAGGCATCTATTATCTACTGACAAGGTACTATGCCTCCACATATCATAGCCCACAGTAATTTCACAGATTTCACGTTACAGTAGGTAAGCTTGACCATTTCTTGTTGTGGCAGGAATGACCATCTTGTTTTTCCCAAAATGTAGATGATTGCTGTGCTTGTGGACAAGATGATTCGAACACAGATTGTTGATTGTGCTGCAGTAGCCAATTGGATCTTCTCTTCAGAACTTGTACATGATTTTACTACGTAACAAGTGTGGAATTTGTGTCTTCAGTTGCTTTTTGTGATTTTTTATTTTAAATCATATAATAAAGCAATGTACTGAAAATAACTACAATTAAGCTTTATATAAACTTGTGTTGTTTCCCCAAAACAAATTTTAGTATTTTCCTCTGAGCTGCAATATGGTTTTATATGGCATGCAAAAAACTATGTTAGCAAGATTCTTGCAAGTAGCCTGTAAGTATGCCAAAGAAGTGGAGGGAGACAATCTAGGACCACTTTGCAAACCATTCTTGGACAAGAACTGTTAACCCTGTTGTATAGCTGCTAGCCTGGTGGAGTCTTGGCTTACACATGTATCATGTATCATGCCCTCACATGTATCATGCCCTCAGATATATTGCTTATTGAAATTGGGGGAAGTGCTCAGACAAGTCAGTTTGATGCTAGTAGTGTTGCAGAATGATTCTGAAATAAACCACTGGTTTGGTAATAGTGTGCAAAATACAGGTGAGTGTTATACTTTCTTAATATTGAATTTTTGCTCATTCCAGTAGATGTCCTAGATAATAATGCAGAAATGTTGTAAATTTCCCCCAGATCAGTATTGTGCATTTTTATAATTATTTGTTAGCTTAACTTAGTATATAGTAATAGAAAGTGGCACTGTTTTTGATGATTTGAATAAGAGTTGAGAGAGAGTGATATAGCAGACCTGTAATTTTTCTGTCATGGACTTCCTTCCTTCCTTCCTTCCTTC